GCATATAACATGTCATAAATTTGAGGTCTAGCAGTTGCAGTTTTGAAAGCGACTTGATTAAACAGACAGGACCGTTTGATGGACGGACGGGCAGACAGATGGACAGACAAACAGTCGTATTGTCGGACGGACACCCTTAGATCGACTCATCTTGCACACGCATATACCTAATGGGGGTATGCCTCTCTCTGCCTGTTACATGCAACCTGTCATACCCCTGTTCAATGAATACAGGGTATACGCACATACATGCACATACCTAGAGTGACTGAAAGTTTAGGTGGAGGAGCAACTCATTTGTCAAACTTTAAGGCAGTGTAATTACTCAACTATAAGGCCAGTTTACTGGTGCTCCGGTCAAAGTTCATGTTAGTTGACCAGAAGTTAAATTGTAAACCGAGTTTGCTCAAATCCCTGTCAACGAAATTGTGTTTCGTAATTCTTAACAAAATGCAAAAATTCTTTGCCCCACAGTCGGCACCATATTAAAATGTTGATTTCATCTTTGCGACGAGTCGACGGGGGCGGATCGATAAATTAAATTCAAGAATTTTAAGTTATTTAAATGCATTTACTGAAATCGTTGTGCAGCACTTACTTTCAAATTGTGCGCATTTTCGAATTTTTCAAATGCCATCGTTCATCTCAGCTGCCAACCAACGTAAGGACATGTGGCAATGGCCAACTATTTGTCCTTCAAGATTGAGCGTCTGTATTGAAGCTCAGCGAGCGGTCACATATTGAGAAATTGCTTTAAATTAACGCTGAAATTGATGGCATTTTTGTAAGCTCTGCTCGATTCATGAATTTCGCAAATATATTTATGGAAAGCCCTAAGGCATTACTCTTATTATAAAAGCTGGCGCTCTGTGCTAATGCAGCAGGCTTAAGTTTTCTAGAGATTTGAACAATATTTAAATAACAAAAAATATTTAGCTTACACATATTGGCGCTTTGCTGCTGCTGCTGTCCATTGTTATCGATAGCAATTATTATCGATAATAATGTGTAATTAATTGAATTTCGAGTCAATATATTATTGCTACACATAATTCAGCATCACGTAGCAACAGCTGCCGCCACACTGATGCATCAAGCGGCATAATAAATGGCTTGATGGACTGCCTTGATTGACTGCCTGACTGTCTGGCTGACTGACTGATTGATCGACTCAATAACTGAGATGCATGCGGGCAACAATTTAATGCCAATTTACAGCTCGATCACGTTTTAGTGCGTTGAGCTGCCAATGCAACACCCAGCCCTTGACTAGAACTCTTTAACTAATAAGCAAAAGCGGCAGCTTGCGCTCAAATGTGTGTGACAGGCGTCTGTTTTTGTCGTTAGGTTTTTTTTACCCACACCCACTGGGCAGTTAAGTGCAATAAATGGCGTTTAACTTGACGGCTTCCGTGTGCCGTCTCGTTGCGAGTCATCAATACTCTGCCCACGGCACAGCCCATTGCATAAATCAACTTTAAACGTCAATGAGGGGCCATTGCTGGCCGTTGACGGCTGACTAGCAGCTGGCTGGCCAACTCCGCCTGCACTCCCGTCATTTGCTTCATCCTGCACCTGATTGTGTCCTGCATTGACTTCCGTTCCAGCTCCATTTGGTGGCCGCATTGTGGTGGCACTTTGGTTGTTGGCATTAGTTTGACATTTACTTTGGCACGTCGTTAGCCGAGTGGCAAGTGCGAGTCACCAGCCCACCATTTCACCCAGCCCACTGTCATTGTGTGTGTGTGTGTGCGTGTGTGTGTGCGTTTGTGGCACATTAGAGTGCCTGCTCGGCAATTCAAATAGTTGAAATTGTTTAAGCTTGATTTAGGCGAGCAGCACATACTTTGCTAAACACACACACGCACGCACACATGTGCCTCAAGCATATTTAGCTAGCCGTGGTGGCGATAAGTTATTTGAAGCACTTTTGCCTGGTTTGCATCTTAAGATGGCACAAACCTGCTTCCATGCTTGGCTTAGGTGCGTGCAGTCTCGAGTGGTTGGGTTTTAGTTTAAGCCTCTTTCATAATGTTTGCGCTGCCTGGGGCCCGTGGCACAACAAATTAAGCCTTTTAGCAAACACAAACAAAACTCCAATTTGTTGCCAAGTTGCGATGCTGTCCAAAATGCCAAAGCCGTTAACTGGCCAACGCCTTCAGAAGTGCTCGCGCATTCCACGCCTTTTAGCGCTAACCCCTCACCCCTCTTCTCCGCCCACAACTTGACACTTTTCGGCTTGCCAAAAGTTTCCAAGAAACAACGCCACGACTGTCTATGTATCCCTATATAACTACTATATATGTATACCTATATATTCGGCTTTTAGCCACTGTCTCTGCCTCTGCAGTTGCTCGTTATACCCTTCTAAAGTTTATTATACATTTCTCATGAAATGTGTAACACGTAGTGGGAAACGTCTCCACATGGCATATATATATTCCTGATCAGTGACAACAACTTAGTCTATAAAGATATGTCCGTCGGGCAACTAGTCCTTCAGTCATGAAACTTTTAAATAGCTCGATCTTTTTGTCGCAGTTAGCATTGAAAATGTCGATTGAAATTATTCACTTTTCGAAATATCTTGACTTAAGCTGTCATTTATGAGCTTTTCAATCTTCCTAGATATCAGCAGGATCTTAAAAACATCGGACTTAAATCGGCTTATATAATGAGATTTTATGTGGAAACGAAAAATTAGATTTTCAAGAAATCTAAAATCGTAAGAGTATTTAATTTTCGGCGCGCCAGAGTTAGCCATGCATTCCTGTTCTGTTTGACTTTGATAACGGAAGGCGCTAGATTTTTGCTGATGCTGATGAAATTTTACAAATTTGAAGCGTGGAAAAATTTCAGTTAACATTTAGCTACGTCATATATTTTATGGCTGGCTTATGGCCAGGCCAAACAACAGCCCAACCAGCAACAGCGACAACCCAAACTAGTTAAGACGCATTTTAGATGAGAAACAAAAAAAAAATAAAAATAACTATTTATATATATATAAAACAACTACTAGCTCAGTACATTAAGCAAATAAAACCGTCGTTAGCTTTAAAAAAAAACTAAATAAATTTTGTTTTGTCCATTTGTAATTCGAGTACGGATGAACGGTTGATAAAATAATCTAATGTAACTCTTAATATACCCTGTAGCCATGGCGATTGACTAAAAAGGGCATATGTCGAGGGTAAAGAGAAATTCTTTCAAATATATCGCTAATTGAGAACTTCAACACTTTCACAAACAACAAATATCCTTTTTGGGATCAAGTAAATGTATACATTTTAGTAAATGTATACATTTGATTGTCATATACCCTTTATTTTATGCTAATGCTCAGGCAATGAAATCAGACTTTGTACAACGAAATCATGTATGTAAGGACAATTTGAAACTAGGTATTTGCTACTCGCTCAAACCCGATTAAAGCTCTTCTGTTTTTTATTTTATAATATGCATTTAATTGGTGGCTTGTCAACTAAATAAATAAAATTCTAACGCATATGCAACATTTTATCGAATGTTTGGAATTTTGATTGCAACACAACGGTATTCAAGCCAGAATATTGAAAGCCATTTCATATATTTAAACTAACCCATAGAATGATACGATTTTAAGCCTTATTGAATGACAAAAATGTAATTGCCCCTCGGTTTCCAGGGTGCCACAGTGCGGCAAGCACAAAGCTGTGGCGCATGCGGCAGCAGGCGAATTATGCGGCTCCATCACTAATCCCAGCCACTTTTGGGCAGATTAGGAATAAAAGCGCTTGAAATTATTGTAATTACCAGCCCACTAGATAACAACAATCCTATGACAATATACACGCACAGGATTGGGAATTATGGGCCAGTGTCTGTCTTTAAGCCCATCTGAAAGGAACGGCAGCCTTAAATATAACTCTGTCTGATTTTTATTAAATTATACGCAAGTCTTTGGCAGCTAACGGACTTTCTGTGAAGTTGGAAGGTGAAAAGTGTCGCAATCAAATCAAATTTCTAGACACCTTCAGAAATATAATCAACTCAAAAGCACAAAAGAAAGTAAATTCTGGCGACAGGAATTCCATTTTTCGTTCTTTCTATTTTTATTTTACACGTTTCTCGCTTCGCCTCTCACATGGAAAACATTTGCAGCACTTTTTGCGCTTTCCTCAACTCTTCCCTCTTTGGACACATGTCAAGCAGTTGCATAAGAAAGCTTTTGCGAAAATGTTTAGCATTTTTTTTTTCTCACACTCATCATTTTTCGCTCTGGACACGTTTCGAGAGCTGATTTTTTTTTTTTTAATTTTTAGCATCTCATATGGCTTTCGAGCAATTTTCGATTTTTTTGCAGTAGCTTCTGCCATCGCTTCTCACTGGAGACAGCTTGCATGAGAGGCCAAATTTGGAAGCATATTTTAGCTGCTTTGCATAACTTATCGCTTCTCCCTCGTCGGCCTAACTAATCATGCCCAGTATTTGGCGTATTTGCCCCACTGTAAAGCAGGTAATCGAAACAAACACGAGCACACGCCACACACAGGTGCCTCTCCATTCAGTAATGCCATGTCCATGACTAATCCCAAATGGTTTTAATTGCCCTGGGAACCGGGAGTAGACATGTAATCATGGCAAATTAGTCCGCTTAGCGTTTATTTGCCCAGAGAATTCGTCAGCTCTTCGTTGGGTTGCCAGGTGCGTCGACAATTGTGGACACTCCCATCAATCAAAATGTGGCGCCAAGCAACCATGTCGTCATCGGATTTATTATGGCCGTACAATCAGTGCCGTGATCGGGCCAGACCCAGCCGTGTGAACAGGCGTGATCTTAGCTTTGCTTAGCTTACCCGTCTATCAAGATGGTTGCTGAAGCGGGGAGCTGTTGGGAGGTAAGGCCACGAGCACTGGATAAACAAAAGTAGGCGCTATGTAAACTTTCTCACTTGGACAGATTTAAAATGAACGCATCTACAAGATACGGCGAAACTGCGACGTAGACGTTTAGTAGGCCAACGACTGCGAGAGCACACGGTATAAGCCAAACTGTAGGACAGCTTGGAGGCCTGCCAGTGGCAACAACAATCTCAACAACAACAATCTCAACAACAGCAAACAAAATGACCAAACTAGAGGCAGAGCAGGAAAGTGTTAAATCATCCGCAGACACACCCCCCACAAAAACCACAGATCAACCAGCGGACTTTGAGACAGCCATCGATGCGGCTGGCTTTGGCATGTTCAATATATTGCTGCTCCTGGTGGCCGTGCCGGCTGCCATGGGCACAGTTTATGAGACATCGACCATGTCGTATATACTGCCCAGCGCCGAGTGTGATCTGCATTTGAGTCTCATCGATAAGGGTGTACTGAATGCGATCACATATGCGGGCATGATATCATCGGCCATCTTTTGGGGCTATGTGGCCGATACGAAGGGGCGCAAAAAGCTGCTCGTCTATGGCTATTTGGCGGATACGATTTGCGTGCTGGGCGGTGCCATCAGCCAGAATGTGGTGCAGCTAATGATCTTCAAGTATTTGGGCGGCTTCATGTAAGTGGCAATTATATAAATACGCCCCAAACACGATGTACTTTGATGTACATCCTCCTAGTATGAGCGGACCCTTTGCGGTGCTGATGACATATTTAACGGAGCTGCATGGACGACAATATCGTCAGCGGATTATGATGGCAGTTGGCATTATGTTTTCGATAGCAACGCTCAGTTTGCCTGGCCTGGCCATGGGCATATTGCCCCAATCCTGGGATATTCAAATTTTGGGCCTATCATGTAAGTACATTTACCCCACCAGGTGCTGAGCTGCCTGCCCTTGACGAATATCTGTTGAGGGCATTTCAGCTTGTTTTGTCAGCTAAGCTAATTACACACAGTATTTATATACTATCTGATAATGCTGCTGATAGTAGTCGCTTTTATCTAAGATACTTAGCTGGACGCACATAACCCAAACAGCTGATACAGCTACAGCTGCTTGTTTTGTTTGGGTTAGCAAGTGGTTTGTTTACACACTCCCCATAAAACAATAGCATAATAAAAATTCATTGCAAATGTATACATTTTTTTTTTTAAATAAACGACAGTTGGCAACACTGGCTACAGACCTTTAGTACCAGCATTAACGCCCATTCTAAATAGCTTTTAATATATGTTTATCGGGTTTGAAGCAATCCCTTTCAGGCCTCGAACTTTCTTATATTTTTACTCGGAGCCAAGCTCTAAACCAAACCATTTACTTAAAAGGCAGTCGAAACAAAGCCGAACCAAAGAATTCTATTCGAAATAGTTTGCTTAAACATATTTGGTAAATGCCAATTTTAGGTAGGGATCAAATATATATATGGGATATTGTCATCCTCTTGTCAACGAATTGTCCGTAGATATGCAAGAACTAAATCAACTTATTGATATATTAAATTTATATTTGTCAGTCATGAATATTATTCTCAGTGTGATAAGCATTGCTAAGTGGCAACACTTGTATTAGGTGTCAACCCTAATGTTAGGCGGCGGCCCTCATGTTAAATTAATAACAGGTTCATATTTAAACACAAAGATTTCATCTCCTATACTAAATGATAAGAAAAATGGTTCAAGTTACAATTGACTAGCTTTCTCAATGAAAAACTCGCTGTGTCAAATATAATTAAATATTTAACAAGAACTTCAATGTTCCGCTTGCAGTGCATGCTTGGCAGGTATTTGTGGCTGTCAGTGCATTGCCCAGCATCTTGAGCTGTGCTCTGTTCCCCTTCTTTCCCGAAAGTCCCAAGTTTCTGATGTCACGTGGACGTAACAAAGAGGCACTGGAAGCCTTCAAGTTCATCTATGCATTGAACACACGCCAGCCGCGCAACGCGTTTCCAGTGAGTGAATGGAATGGAAAATCTCAAAAATCTCATAAAAACTAAAGAACTGTTTCGCAGATAAAACAACTTGCCAATGAAGTGCCCGCTAAACCAGAGCCGAAGCTAGACGTTGTCGATAAATCGCAGCCCAAGGAAGTCGCTGCTGAAGCGGACGTGGAGCTGGCCAACCGGCCACGGAGTTCGCTGCACTCGGGTCTACTGCAGCTGCGACCGCTGTTTGTCAAGCCCTATTTGGGTCTCTCTCTTTGGGTGTATCTGCTGAATTTTTGCGTTCTCCTGGGGTAAGCGTCAGCCAATTTCACATGAACTTAGCTAATCCCAACCAATTGGCAGGCAGAACACGATGCGCTTGTGGCTTCCACAGCTATTTGCCTCCATCAACGAGTACGAGCAGCTGGCCAGCAGCCAGCAGCCGGAGTCCGGTGGCACAAGCATTTGCAACATAGTTGAGTACAGCGTGAATCGTACACAGCGACAACTGGCGGCAGCTGCCCTTGATGATGATCCATTGGCCGTCTGCACGGTCAATGTAAGTGCCGGCAGTTACACCAACAATTTAATTGTGGCCGCCGCTGGTTTGGTTTCCTATACCCTGGCCGGTGTCCTGGTCAATCTGGTGGGCTTTAAGCGGATCATGTGTGCGTAGAAAATCATTTTAATGTTTCCCTAGAAATGTATTCTTTATTTATTTGTAGCCATGTGTCTCTTTGCCGCCGGCTCCTGTGCCCTGGGCATGTACTGGTCGAGTTCATCTGTGACCACCGTGGCGCTTGCCTCTGTATTTGTCAGCATGGGCAGCATTTCGGGCACATCACTTATAAGCGCCTCCCTCAGCATGTTTCCCACCTCATTGCGGTAGGTGTAAGATCGCCATTCTCTCACTCTCTCGCTGTTCCTCATGCTCCCTGTCTCTCTTATGCTCTCTGACTCACTCTATCTCTATCTCATTCTATCGATCTCAATTTAGATCCTTCTCCCATTTTCATTCTATCTCGTTCATTCTCTTACTTTCAAGTTTTTTCATTCTTACTTTAATTTGTTCTCTCTCATTCTCTGTCTCTCTCAACCTCTCTTTCTCGTTCTATCTCTATTTCATTCTGTCCTCTCATTATATCTCTCTCTCTCTCTCTCAATAAGATAGAGACTCTCTCATTATCATTCTATCTCTTTCATTCTCCTACTCTCATTCTCTTTCTCATATTCTTTCTAATTCTCTTTCATGCTTTCCCATTCTTCCTCTCATTCTCTCACATGCTCTCTCTCCCTCATTTTATTTTACTAATTTCCTAGCTCTGCCTCTATCTAGCTCTCATTCTCTCTCTCTCTTATGAGAATAAGTTTCTTTCTGTCTCATACTCCATCATTCTCTCTCGCTTAATCTCTCTCTTCCTCTCATTACTACTCAGTTTCTCTCTCATCCTCATTCTATCTCTCTCCTATTTTCTCGCTGTCTCGGGTTCTCTTGATCTTTCTCACTCTCTCTCTCGCATTCTCTCTCTCATTCCCTCTCATGCTATCTCTTCCTCTCGTTTTCCCCACCTTTTCTAACTTTGAAATTTTTCATCCGATAGCACAATGATCGTATCGCTGAGCATGATGGTGGGTCGCATGGGCTCCTTGGCGGGCAACATATTTTTTCCGGCATTGATGTCGATGGGCTGCCTGCCGCCATTCCTTATGGTCAGCGCGTTTATGTTCTGTAAGTTGTTAGCCTGTATCAATTCCATTAATTCTCACATATGTATCTGCCTTTTAGGTGCCTGCCTCTTGGCCTCATTTCTGCCAGTGAAAAACAAAGCCGTACTGAAGTAACCCGATATCCGTATGCATTAACACAATTTCCCCCAATCAATTTGCTAACGGATTGCTCTATATATATAGTTTGTTTTTAGTTTTATTCCTGAGTTTTTCTCCTATTTTTTCTTTTTTTTTTTTGGTTCTGCTGTTATTAAAACTTAATTTATTACAAAATGAATCTTGCAACTGCTTGTCAATTTCCATAAACTTTGTGCCTGACACTCCTTAATTGCAGTCACTTATTAATTCCTGTTCTGCTACGCATACATTAGTGTGAACAGGCGGCAAGCCAGGAGACTGGTGAAAGGAAAACAAACAGGAAAAAGAAAGTTTTCCAACGCTGTTCAAGGAATGGCAAAAAACGACGATAGCCGTGTAATTGAGTTGATAACTGCGACTAGCAAAGAACTTTAATCAGCTTTTGTGAAAATATTTTGGACTCGTATCTGTTAGATCCTTCTCTAGCTTAAGTGCTTTTTTGAATAGAAGTTAATACACATTTGTAATTTATACAACGAATGAAAGGGCATTAATCAGAGCAAATAACAAACAAGGCTACGAATCGGTTAAGCACAGAATTCATTCGTGAGATCAAGATAAAGTTTTAAAATTGCCAGCACAACTTCTTAATGTAACACTTATAATCAATAAATGAACAGCTGTAAGTCTTACTTAAAGTCATGAGAATCACAAAGTAGGTAAGTATAAATAACAATTTTTACTGGCAGCGCAGTGGACAGTAAACTAAGTTTGCGCTTGGTAAAGGAGAACTTACATACGTTATACGCATGTGTATACACATCCTTACATGCATGCCTACACACAAACATGCATACATGCATGCATGCATACATACATACATACATACATACATACATATATACATACATAAAAACACTCATATATATACATACATACATACTCACATATTTACAAACATGCATGTAGATGTGCATATTACATGCATGCATGCATGCATGTAGACATATATTTACACATACAAACAAAAATACAGTTTCTCTGATTGCCAACATAACATATTATTTCGCTTCTAATCAAACCATGAAAATCTGTAAATGTTTAGCTTATGAGAATCGCAAAGAGGAGCTATATTCAAAAAGAAGCTATCAAACAGGTTGATTAAATTCGGTCTGCACATGCCAAGCTTTTATCTGTAAATTCTAACCAGTTTTTCCCCTACTTCCCCTACAATTCGCCAAACTTTCCGTTAATATTACAAGACATTTTTATGCAGACCTTAGACCAGAATAAAAAAATATGTTTTCAAACAGTTTGTGCGCATATGGATATTCCAAAAATCTTTGAAAAATGTCTTTAATCATTTTTTATGTGGAGCTCTAATGTGGTGAGTATGAAAACCATGGAATATACATTTAAAGTCGATGATGGAATATTTCACATGCGGTAATTGATCAACAATCAAGCAATCAGTCAGTGGAACAAAATACACTTTTGTTACAGTAGAGTAGGATTTGAACCCGCAATTCCCATTGCTCGGTGGCCTTAATGACTCCGTAACTTTTGCAGAAAATTTATGAGATGCTCAAAATAACTGTTGGCTCGGTCAGATAAGTAGTTGGCTAGTTAACGAATGGAATATTTTTAGTAAATCCAACAGATTCCAACCGCTTGCTCTACATTCCACATAATAAGTGCTACGATAATTTGCAACTATTGTTATCGTCATCAGCTGTTTCACTCTCTCCCCTTTTCTGTCTGTCTGTCTCTCTCTCTTTCTCTTCCCGCTCATATATCTTAAGCACACTCTCTTGGCTGGTTTGGGTGATATATGAGCCGATTCGTGGACGTCAGCCCGCCAGCTCGCCAGTCCCAACGCTAGCTAAATGGAAATGTTAATTATCTGACAACGGAAACGCTTTAAGTTAATGTGAGCTGGCAGCTGGCCGCAGGCATTTAGAAGGCCCCTGTCTGGCTGGGAGCTCCAAACTAAGGATTCTAGCTGCATGGAACGGGATAAGCTTCTGGTTGGCGACGGATGCGGTGTCAGCGTGATTTCACAAATGTTTGAATTCAGAGAAGCCACAAAAAACTTTTAATTAAAAACTTGACGCTCGACTTGCTAAAAATATAAGGGGTAATTTAAAGGTAGGGGGAGGAGGGGGACAGGTTGAACCAGTTCACCAATAGAACTGTCAATCCGTGAGCATCAGCTGAGCCCAGGGAACGCATTACTGCAACAGGTTGCACTCGAGCACAAAATGCAGCGATTTGCGTCACGTTCGCCGTCGTCAGTTTAATCTTATCAGCGAGCATAAGGAATGTCAGAGCTCTGCTGGGCCAGGCAGTGGTTGAGCCATAAATGGATGGGGGGCAGCGCACGACGAGCACAGTCGAGAAGATGAGCCTCAGCGACAAGGTGGTGATTGTGACGGGCGCCAGCAGTGGCATTGGTGTGGCCATTGCACAGGTGCTGGCCCGTGAGGGAGCGCATCTGTCGCTGGTTGGACGCAACGTGACCAATTTGGAGGCAACGCGCGCCTTACTGCAGAAGCAGAACAAGGGCATTCAGGCACTGACTGTCGTCGCTGATGTTACCAAGGATACGGATGTGATTATACAGCAGACACTGAAGCAATTCGGACGCATCGATGTCCTGGTCAATAATGCCGGCATCCTGAGCACCGGTCCGCTCATCGATCTGGACATTAATGAATTCGACACGGTGCTCAATACGAATCTGCGCGCCATTGTGCTGCTAACCAAGGCGGCAGTGCCGCATCTGCTCAAGACGAAGGGCAATGTGGTCAATGTGAGCAGCTGTGCCGGCATCTGTCACTTCGCTGACTCACTCACCTATGGCATATCGAAGGCGGCACTGGATCAATTTACAAAAATTGTCTCATTGGAACTGGCGCCGCAGGGTGTGCGTGTGAATTCGGTGAATCCCGGTTTTGTGGTCACCAATATACACAGTCGCATTGGCATTGTGGATGAGGAATACAAAAAGGTGCACGAACGTGCCGTCAATTCCCATCCATTGGGCCGCGTCGGCGATGTCTTTGAAGTGGCCGAGGCCGTTGCGTTTCTGGCCAGCTCGAAGGCCAGCTTCACCACCGGCGCCCTGCTGCCCGTCGATGGTGGCAAGCATAATTTTACGCCACGTTAAGTGACACCAAGTATTCCCGGTTGCCCCGAGGTCACACTTTCATTATTATTATTATTATTATTTTGTTTTGTTTTTTTATTTTTGCCTTTCCTATTTTTAAGCGAAAATACATGCAAAATGCGAATGTTATTTGAAATTTAAAACGTGTGGCTTCAAACTGTGCGTCGTCGTGTCTCCAGACCAGACGACCCCAAAGTGACCGTCATGGTTTGCCCTCTACTCGGACTCGCCTCGAGCTTATCAGCTTATCACGAGCAGCCGCACACAAGCGATTCAGTTAACTTAACCGCCGACCAGAACATGTCCATCATATATGTAATGCCTCCAGATACAGCTGACACTGGTTATCTCAGACCACATGCGTACATGCGTTGGGGCTTTCCTAATCTGAAGTCTGCACTTATCAGCCACTCACAAATATTGGGTTTTTTTTTGGTTCTTTTCGTTGAAGGAGAAACTAGAAATGTGTCGGTCATTGTTCCCCTAACGAAATGGGTAAACAATGTCGGGAATTTGACTTTGGGACAACTTTGGGATACACTTACGCCAAGCTATGGTGGATTTATGAGTTTGGAAAGTTCGTGTCAAGCTTTAGCCGTGCACTGAACCAAGCTTGAAAGCTTTTAGCTTATGCATCGGCACAAAAATAAAGTTAAAACATAAAATCGGTTTCATAAATATATTTAAACTTATTTGCTCAATATTTAAGACTAGAGGTTGCTTCACGGCTTAGACAAAGTTTTCTCCATTAATTTTCTTTTCCACCCATTTCCCATCCATGAGAATGTTTAAATTCACACGTACTATCTTAAACCCCATTTTCACCCAGAGTTGTGAATTGTTTTCGCTCGCTGTCATTATTTTAAATAGTTATTTGAAAATAAGATGAAAGTAGATTCTACTCAGCAGTTTCTAAGTTTGTCAAAAGTCCAGAGCAAAGAAAAACCATCGGCGATATTCTCTTTGAACAACAGTAGGGAAATCCGTAGACTTCAATTAGTACCAAATTTGTTGTACCAATATTGGAAATATTACACTTTTAAATATCTCCCCCCGTTTCTTCCAAAATAGTAAGAGTTTAACACTTGGTAAATGGACGCATTTTAAGCACCAAAACATATCTGGAAATTATTTTCCACCTTCTAGTTGTGCACTCCCGACAAAAGCACTCTAACTTCTATATAAGTAGGCCAATGCAAGATTCTATGAAAAATGCTGAAACGCAAAGCAATCTTTTAAATTGTTGACACAACATTCAAAACTTTTAGAAAATATTCACTTCACGTGTCTAAATTACAGAACAGAGTAAGAAAAGAAATTCAATTTGCCTTTTAAAAGATATTAGAGCTGCTCCAACAGTGCTTCTGAATGCTCGAAAAAGCATTGTTCGACAAGTTTTCGGAGCGAAGCAACATGTACGGGGCACCATATTCAAGTGAGCTCAGGGAGCTCAAACAATATATGGTTCCTTTTTTGGTACAAAAATGATACAGGTAAATAGCTACAACTATTGAGCGGTGAGACACTTGGCTTTAGTGATCCAAGACCAATAATAAGCTGGTTATTATTAAAGTAATAAACATTAAAGAGTTGGCATTCTGCATAGCTAATTTAAGAACCTTCCAGTTCTAACAGCTGACTTTGTTGTGAAGCACTGCCACTAAACGAAGCTTAAACTTGTTGCGAATTTTAACGCCTTAGCTGTAAAACGGTTGAATTGAATCTTAAAATATATACTCGTGTATATCAGAGAGAGTGTTTAATCAGAAAAGTCTAAAAGCCAGATATATACCACGTTCTAAAGCTAGATTTAAGTATTTAACTGAGAAGCTTTTCTTCAGATGTTAATTAGCATTTTTTTTTTAATTTACCATTTCATCTATAAATGTTATATATAATTATTAAAAGATTTTTGGTCAATTCTCTGTCAGGCTGGTCTTCCATTATGATGTACGAAATTGAGTTATAGTTAAATGTTTTTTTTTTTCAAAATGTTTTGATAAGTTATTCGAAAATACGACATGGAATTTAAATTTGTTTAAAAAGTTATTTGCATATTGAAATAATGTTTTATTATTAAATGCTTTAATTCTTAATAATGTTGAAATTCATTTGTTAGAAATTCGAAATTACTTTACTTTAGTTAATGGGTTCAAGGTTTATTATTTAATTTATTATATAACGAAATGTTTCTTTTCACAAACTTTGTTATATAATAAAATTTTTTTGATTGGATACTCCAAATTTAAGTTAAATAGTTTAATATATATTTTTTTTAATATTTTGTTTAGATAAACGAAATTTAAGTTATATAGTTAATTTTTTTCACAACTTTCGCAATTTGAAATATTGTATAATTTAAAGTTTTTTTTAATTGTTGCAATTGATTGAATTTTTCATTTAAAAGATTTTTCAAAATGTACCATATTATTTTTTTTAATTTAATGTTTATTCTTCCAAATTTGTTGCAATTTATTAATTTATTAATTTTCTTCACAATGCTCGAAATAAAGTGTCTGATTTTTGAACAATTTCCTTACAACCTTTCCCTAGTTTCAACAACGTTACTGATGCTGAAAGTCCAGTACAAAGAAGCACTGTTGGAGCAGCACTGATATCTTGAGCAAGAAGAGTACACATAACCAACTTTGGATGAGCTATGAAAATTTGCAAGTTGTGATTCTAGTAATTGTCAAACTTTCCACAGGGTAAGTTTCAGTTAGCACTTAAAGCTTGCGTCTATTTTTAACTAACTAGCCCAGCGGATGGTAGATGTGTTGTAAAAGCTTGGTAGCTGAAGGTAGCGATATTTGGCGAGCTTTTGGCATAACATGCACCTTGCAACCCCTAAAAGTGTTGAGCTTAAAGCTGAAAGCAACCCCATTGATAAAAGCTCTGCCATGGAAAATGTTGGCAACTGTCAGTGCGTCAAAGGCAGTCGCAGCGTGCGCATCGTGACTGCAATATCCAACAGCCTGGTTCGTCGCCTTATATTGTGGTCATAACTGAACACTCGAGAACCACCCACACCCGCCCACATATTAGCGTGAGGATTGCACAGCTGTTGGACGAATTGAAAAAGCGACCGATTGATTTTTCGCATTTGAATCTTAAGGCGAAAGTTGCAGTTGCGTGGTGAAAGTGTGACAAGTGAGCTGGCCAGGCATACATATGGAAATGAATGACACGCTGGCCGAAGGTCAGCAGCCAGCGAGCAGCACCAGCAGCAGCAGCAGCAGCTGTGACAATGTGCAACCAACAACAACAACAACAACAGCATCAACAATTGTCGCTGTCAATGTGAACGAGGCAAATGTTGATAGTCAAGCATATCCAGAAACAGATCCGGAGGCGGATGCCGAGGATGAGGCGCAGCCATTGAGCGAACGCTGGTCACCATTGGGCGCCAACTATGATGATGCGAACATCGCCAGCTCAGAGCTGATGACGAGCGGCGGCGACTGTGCCGAGCTAGATGAGCCACAGTTGCTTGGTTGCCTGACACTGGACAAGCCGCCGCCGCCGGCGCCGCCGACAGTGGTCACAGCTGGCGCGGATAATGCCAGCGAATTGGCACGTTTGCGCAGCATTGAGGAGGAGCAGGAGCTGCTGACCAGCTCTCTGTTGGCATTAACCTCACAGTTTGCGCACGTTCAGCTGCGCGTGCGACAAATTGTGGAGGCGCCCACAGATGAGCGAGATCAATTGTTGCGTGACCTGGAGGATTTCGCCTTTCAGGGCATACCGGAGGTGGTGCAGCCCAATAACGACAATGGCACTGATGAAATGCAAGCGACGACGGCACCACCCGATGGCCAGCTGATCGAGCAGCTGAAGTCGCAGCTAACGGAACTGGAGCAATTGGCGTATGATTCAGGCGCGCCGGGCGTATTGCCGCAGCATGTGCTGCTTGAGAAGCAAAAGTTCATACTGGACGAGCTGCGCACTAAGCTCAATTTGCAGGTGGAACAGCATCAGCTGCCCGCACTTAGCACCGAACAGCTGCGCCATCAGGTGGACAATGCCATTGGCGAGTTTGTGGGCCCGCTCAAAATGAAGGAACAGCTGGTGGCACAGCTCAAAACGCAAATCACCGATCTGGAGCGTTTTATTGCCTTCCTGCAGTGCGACACCGCCGGCGGTGGCGATGGCGGCAGCGGCACCACTAGCGCCAGCGACAAGCTAAAGCTACTTAGTGGTGCCTACAATAGCTATGCGGCCAAGCAGACAGCCCGTCAGACACCCGCCCAGCTGCCCGTGATGGCAACCACATCGGCAGCAACAGCAGCGACAGCCAACGGTAGCAGCCACATGACTGCAGCAGCAGGAACATCCTCCGCGGAGCATGAACCACGACGCGAAAGCCTGCACAGCAAGGCGCACGGACTGCTTGACAAGGCATCTCTGCTAATGCAAATGTTTGCCACAACCCATTTCGCCAAGCGACAAGCGGACTTTCAGCAAAACTCGCTGAAGAAAACGCACAAGGGCAACCACTGGGGGTGAGTACCCAATAATGGGCAATTATATTGTCATACATATACTTATAATGGGAATTGGAACAGTTGCGAGAATATTCGAAAATGCGTTACGATTGCATGCCACGGTGGCAACGTCAACGACAATATCTAATCGATGGACAGCTGGTCGATTAATTGTAATAATATACTAGAATTTATCGTTCGATTGTGGCAACGCCATGTTGCAAAGGCTGGCAATATCGCTCAGCGACAAGCTGGCAGCACAGATCGATAAAATGCTAAAATCAAATTTAACTGACAATATTCGATGAAAAAAAGTTAAAGCGATGATTTTTCAAATACATATTTGTTTTTTAGGGATCTGCGCGCACAGCTGGAGGTGGACATCCAGGAGGTAGCCGCATTGGCTGCCACACTAAGCTGCGATCGCCAAAAGTTGGCGAATATCAAGCGCGCGCTGCGCCAGCAACAGCAGCTGGCGGCGACCAATGCCAACAATGCAAGCGGCTCGTTTAATGCACAAAATGGGGCATTAACCACTTTGCCGCCACGTTGCAGGCGTGCAGTTGCCAACGCTGCTGCCGCCGCCGGCCACGAGCTGACGCCGTATGCCGCAAGCGCAGCAGCTGCCGCCTCATCTGACTCGGATGAAGATATTTACGATCGGTATGACTGGGACAAGGACAAGTCTATGGGCCGACGCATTGTGCATATGCGCGGCGATTCCATAGCCACTATCGGACGCGAACTGACCAGTGTGGTGCGCAAGAACTTTGCGCGCACACTGCAGCAGCTCATTCAGCACGGACTACGCATACCAGCCGAATCGGCGGCCACCAGCCTGATGGTGCCCTTCATGCGCTGCCTGCAGCCGGGCGCACAGCGTGTGGCGGCGGGTGCGGCGCCAGAGATGCAATTTCTTGGCATTGGTCGTGCCATGCACGCCTGGGAGCTGATACTCGAGTACTATAATCTGAAGCATGGCGAGGAGTACAACAATACGCCGGCCCGGAAGCTATCCCAAAGTTTTCAATTGGATATTGTGGATGCACAGGTGGTTACGGCCAAGCAGAGCCTGCTGAGCGCCATTGGCATGATCCTGGCCATGCATCGGCCCTACAAACGCAGCTACAACGCCCATTTTAAGGCATTAATCTGTGCCGGACTTAAGTGAGTGCGCAATCTTACGCTTAAATACCCTCTAGACATTGCAAACGGGGTATATTGCAGTTGTGCAAATGCATCTCCCACTCCATAAAACTTATATTCCCCATTTAATTGTAGTCATGTGCGTCTGTCTATATACCGCATACCACATGATAACAAAATTATTTCAAATCGATAAATATCGATCGATAGCGTACGCTTTTGAGTCTTATATATCGCAGCACGTAGGCGCTGGGTAGCTTAAAGCTTAGAATTAATATGTATTTCACATAATCAATTTAATAGATACCAAATTTGGGGAACTATATATATATATATATATTTATATGGTAGTGGAGGCAATTTGTATATATATATATAGATATATTATATTTGGATTTGGTAGCTAGATTAGGTATGTTTCAGAAATTTAGCGGAGATTGAGAAGTATCAATTTCTAACCCTGTTAGCTAAAATAAACCAAAAATCTAGTTGCTAAGGCAAAACTTGAAATCATGTACAGGATAGCACGCGGACGGACACTCCCGCCCAGAACCTAACCTCTTGCCTAAGCATTTAACTTATATATTTAATTTTGTTCTTGTTCGCAGCGCACATCTTCTGGTAGAGTGGCTTAATCTGATACTCAGCTGCAACGAGCTTATTGATACATACTATACGTCCAATAGCTATGTGGCATGCACGGGATTTCGCGACTCGCTGCGCTCTATTGACGCACTGTCCAAGTTTGATTTCGATTTGCCCGTAGATCTGGCCATACGGCATTTTCGCAATATCTAAACTGAATGGATTTATCGATCGGATCGTTCGATTATGACATCTCGTAATTTTTGTTCTCTTTTAAAAAACTAGTCCAAGTCATGAATCTTAATGTATAAATATGTGTATATAACTTTAGATATGTCCAATTAACTAATGCCCACTAAATACAATTACTAAACCTAATGCCTAAAATTCGCTCATATAAAACTGATGGATACACTGGCTCACCTTTTCGCCCAGTGGACGCTGTAGCGGACCACAGCACAGACCGGCCAGCAGTAGACGTGCCTCGGCCTCGCTTTGGCACTTCCCGTAGGCATCCAGCAGCTGGCGCGGCGTAGCATAGCGCTCCACAATGGCTAAGGCACGATCGATGGAGAGAGAGTGCAGCTGGAGCAGCTGCTGCACAAACACCTCGCGCACCGTCAGCTGCGCATTGCGTGCAGAGTCCTCATAGAGGGCTCGAAACTTGAGCAAGCCCACATGACGGCTGCTGCTGCTGCTCCGGGAGCTGTGCTGAGACTGTGCCTCCAGCTGCGTCTTGTCGACGCTGTGCAGCGACTTGGCCGCGTGCACATAGAGCTGCTCCAAGGCGCTACTCACGCCTCTCAGATAGCACATGGAGCGATAGTGATTGTCAGAGCGTACAACTTGGATGTTGGCGGACTGAATGCGCGCGTTGGTCAACGCCTGCAGCAGGGAGTCCAGCGGCAGACCGAGCTGCTCATTGTCGCCATAGTCTTCGATCAGGTAGACAATGTGCGGCAGACCGCACTGGGCCAAGCGATGCTTCTGCTCGTGAAATCGGCCATCGCGTATGCTGCTAGCCAAATCGTCCATGCGCTTGCGCTCGACGATGTAGGGCAGCACCAGCTCATTGCCGGCGGCATCGCGTGCTATCCACAGAAAGTCGCCGACAGTTAGGCGGCGCACTTCGTGCTCCACGTTCAATGTCTGCAGATAGCTGCGTGTCTGATCCAATATGCGCTTATTCTTGCCGCTTGTCTCTTGCGTGTCGACGAGCAGCACAATGCGATAGCTGCCCGCGCTCATCTGGACGATGCGCTCCCGTTCCTCAGCTGCTGCCAGCTCCTGCAGCGCTTTTTTGGTCAATTTCTTGGGCTGCTTCAGCAGCTGCTGCTGCTGTTTTTCTTGTTTCTTTTGCACCACTTTAACCACCTGTTGAACCTGCTCCTGGTACTGTGTTACATTCGCAGCCATTGGCAGTGTTCCTTTGCTTGCCAGCACCTGGTACTGCCGCAGCTCTTCATCGATGAGCTGACAGAGCGTTGAGCCAAATCCACGCAGAACGGCGCACTCGCGGCCGCTGTAGAGTGGCAGCGGATAGTTGCGCAATGCCTCCAGCGCCTGCCGCAGCTTGTGCTGGGACTTGCGATTGCGGCGCTCGGCCTGATGGAGCCAGCGTTCTAGCCAGCGCGTGAAGAGTGGATTTGGTTCCAGCAGCTTTATTTCTAAACGTGCTTCCATAGCCCCGCCAAAATGCAACCTGGGGATGCCACCTAGTTGAACAAAATTAACGTCTTAGTGTGAATGGCAAAGGCAACTAGATAATTTGTGCGATAACAGCTGATGTCATATTATTTCTTTGCATGCATATTTTAAATGTTCGTGCTGACTTCTTTAAAACTGACTAGGTTTGTGTGCTGCCATCTATTATCAATTCTTTGATTTAGTATCGTGCGCATGCGCATGCCAAGCAATGTGCCGTCATCTATTGTCAGATGGCCACACTGCACACCAATTATCTTGTGCTTTAAAATTGACTAGGTTTTGTACCTCCATCTGTTGAGATGACTTGCATAATGCTTGTGTGCATGACCACGCAATGATCCGCCATCTATTGCCATTTGGTTGCTCTGAGCTACTACATCGTTGCAAATGGTACACGACAGAGGTGGGAATGCTATTGCTATTGTAATGCTTATGAATGCACTGGCTTACCTTTTGGCCAAGTAGCGGACCACAGTACAGACCGGCCAGCAGAAGAGGTGCCTCGGCCTCGTTTTGACTTTTCCCAACAGCTGGCGCGGCGTAGCATAGCGCTCCACAATGGCAAGGGTACGGCGGAGGAAGAGAGGTTGCAGCCGGGTCAGCCGCTGCACAAACACCTCGCGCACTTTACGTGCCGAACCATCAAAACTTGAGCGAACCCACATGTCGGACTTTACCTCAAGCTGGGTCTTGTCAGTGACTTGGCCACGTGCATATAATGCTGTTGCTGTTGTTGTTTCTTTTGCAACTCATACTGTGATACAGGGGCAGCCATTGGCAGCGTTCCTTTGCTTGCCAGCATCCGGTGCTGCCGCAGCTCCCTATCGGCATGCTCGGGACCGCTGTAGAGTGGCAGCGGATGGTTGCGCAATGCCTCTAGCACCTGCTTCAGCTTGTGCTGCGACTTGCAAATGTGCCTCTCGGACTTATGAAGTAAGAGTTCTGGCAAGAGCGTGAAAATTGGATTTGTTTTCTGCAGCTTAATTGCGAAACGTGCTTCTATAACCGCGCCAAAATGCACATAGAGGCTGCCACCTAGTTGAAACTATGGAAGTGTTTTTGTGTGAATGGCAAAAGCAACAAGATAATCTCTGTTGTAACAGCTGATGTTACATTTATATTATTTATCTAAATAAATTAAATTTAAATATCTCGCGCGAGCTGGCGTTTCCCGCCATCTATAGTCTATATTTAGGTTTAAAGTGCCAGACTTTTAAAAAATATTGGTGAGTAAAGAGCGCATGCGCTTGTCAAGCAATGTGCCGCCACTGCAACCAATTAATTTGTGCTGTTAAGCCGATGTTATAAAACATATTATATTTTTGGCGTTGAGACTTTTAATGAGCTGAGCTTTGTTTTTAAAATAGCCTTGGTTTGTGTGCCGCCATCTGTTGTCATTACTTGAATTTTAAATGCCAGATATCTTAGAAGCGTTCATATCCGTTTCTGCGCATGTGCATTATTTATCTCCATCTATTGTCAGGCAGCTTCACTGTATTTAATAAATTGTACAATAAATCCGATGTTATGGCACAAATTATCGTTTCAGCATGCACAGCAACCACACTTTTATTGATGCCACCTATTGTCAAAAATTATATATTAAATGCGCATGTGCACGACCACGTAATGGTCCGCCATCTATTATCCATTGGTTGCTCTGAGCTACCACATCGACGCAAACAATACTTGGCAGTGCTGCCAGCTGTTGCAAAACTACGCTGCAGTGTGAATGTTTAGTAATTCTTAAACGTGCAACTTTGTTTTGGCGCAAGCTGCAGTAAGAATGACTACGAAACCATCCAGCAGCTGCAGCAATAGCAGCACCAGTCGTGGCAATGCTAATCCTGGCATTGATGACATCAATCTGGAGGCGCTGACACTCAGCGAAGGTATACGGGACTCGCCCGTCTGCATTATTGTGCTTGGCATGGCCGGTTCCGGCAAGACAACGTTCACACGCAGTCTTATCCAGCACGCTCAGGCGCAGTTTAATCCGTATGTGGTCAACCTTGATCCCGCATGCCGGGAGGTTCCTTATGCGGCGCATATTGATATACGCGACACCGTGAACTACAGAGAGGTAATGAAACAATATCAGCTGGGCCCCAATGGCGGCATTGTGACTGCGCTGAACATGTTCACCACCAAGATGCCCAAATTTGCGGAGCTGGTGCGTCGCGCCGGCGAGCGTGGCCACAAATGGTGCATCATCGATACGCCCGGTCAAATTGAAGTGTTCACTTGGTCAGCATCGGGCAGCATTATCACTGAGGGCCTGGCCACCATGTTTCCCACAATAGTTGTCTATGTTATGGATGTTGTGCGCTCCAGTTGCCCCACCACATTCATGTCCAATATGCTGTACGCCTGTTCCATATTGTACAAGACGCGGCTGCCCTTCTTGATAGCGCTCAACAAGGTGAGTGCAATAGATATGAGCGAAACAGATTCTTTAAAAACTAATTTTATTGTCGTTGAAACAGATTGACCTGAAGGACTGCAGCTTTGTCCAGGAATGGATGACCGACTTCGAGGTGTTCCAAGATGCATTGGAGCAGGAGCACAGCTATGTCAACAATCTGACACGCACTATGTCGCTGACACTTGACACATTTTACGAGAATCTAATCACATGCGGTGTCTCAGCCAAAACGGGCATTGGCTTTGCCACCTTGATAAAGCACATCCTCGACTGTGTCAACGAATACGAGCGCGATTACAAGCCGGTGTATGAAAAGATGCGTCTACAGCGCCTGGCCGACCAAAAGGCCATATCATTCCCAGCAACAGTCGTCGATGCGGCGGGCACAGCGGTGCCCATGGGCCTAAATCTGAGTGTTAGTTATAAATAATATAAGAAAGACCTACCTAATTACTTTTATATACATATTTGCAGGATCCAATAAGCAATGCGGACAACAGCGTATTCCTCATGGCGCCCAGTCTGGTGCCGGTACAAATGGATGCAGATACAGAGGAGTCTGAAGCCGATGCCAAGAATACAACAGAGGAGCAAAATTTTCAGAGTTTCGTTCAAGATCATTTGACGGCGCAGCAAAACAAACACGACAAACAGCAGCGGGCGCAGCAGGAACAGAAATCTTAGGCGATAGATTAAGCTCGTCAGTAAATCTAGTTTTAAGCTTAAAGAAAAACTAAGTTTATAGCTATATACACACTGTGAAATTCGTAATGAAATCCTTATATTTTATGCAGTTAGTTTGTTCTTTATTATTTTATTCACTTTAACAAGCAAAAACATTCAATATAGTGTTTGTGTTTCTTTTTTTTTTTTGTTTAATATATTTTTTTTTTTTGTATATGTATGTGTGTATATTTATAATTGTGTGTGTATGTATATAATGTTTGCGTAGTTCTCTGGTATATATGGACTTAAGTGTTTAGCTTTGCAAATTATTTGTAACAATTACAGTGATATATGACGGATATACTATCCATTTGGGAATCTTTGATTTGATTTATTGGATAATGCTTGTGTATATGTAAATGCAAGCCGTCGTGGATTTGTCCTATATTATAGCAAATACTCTATATGTACCACACAAATATATATATCTATATGCACATATAAGTATAATGAGCAAATCAATTGTGAGTGCGCCATGCCACGCCCAGCTCGCCTTATAGCACATAGGGGTTGTTTTTTGTTTTTGGTTTTTGTTTTTGTTAAATATTATGCTTACAAAAATACAGATCATCTCAAATTACAGCTCTCAATGATTTTTACATAGTTATACACAGTTATATAGATCGACATATAAGTTATACAGTTATACATACATATTCATAAATATATATAGTGTATACAGTGTACATAGTATTACTTTTCTTATCAATCGAACTATGATCTAGAAGCTAACCCATTTCTAATTTTCCCACATCTAATTTCTGCTCCGATCCGAGACGTAAACTTAATACTTATGTTTCAAAAACATTTGCTGCAATATATTTGTGCTCAAGATTTATATAGACTGCGACTTAATATGATTACAGAATTACGTGTATCGCATTTCCCTAACCCCCACCACCCGGCTCTATCTACCAGTCACCCCCCGCCCCCTCCCCTCCCATCGACCCCTTGCAAAATGCCCAGCACTGCAGGCGCTTGTGCGTGCCATAGATTTTTGATAAGTTCTTTTTTTTTCAACACTCAAAATCTGCCATCTTAAATGCATTTTAAGCTTAAAAATCGTTTAATATTTGTGCTAAAAATTATGTATATTCGTATAAGTTAATAAGTGTATGCAAATAGTTGATTTAAACAGGCACACACACACATACACACATACAATCGAAACGGAGATTTGTGCCAAAAAAAAAATAAAAAAATAAATAATAATAATATGATATATGGTAACAGCTTATTTAAAGAATCCTTAATATGTGTTTTCAAGAAACAGTCTTCTAGGTATTTTTTTTTTTGGATTTTTTGTGGGTTTTTTGTTTACTTTGGAAACATAACATTGAAAATTGCTTGAGTGTCAATAAATGTTGTCAACTTGGCATTCCATTATGCGAGCTGCGTTTGTTATGGGTAGCTTAGCTTGGACAGCATTTTGTTTTTTTTTTTTTTTTGTTTGAAAAGTTTTTTAGATACTTAATATACTAAATATGCCCAAATACAAATCGACAACTATGTGCGCCCATTTGAAGCAGTTGAAATATCATCAAACGTATGGAAATAGATATCATGGATATTTCAAGGATTTTCTATATGTTGTTCAAGTATTGAAGCTGCATAAATGGCGCACATACCTGTATATTTGCAGAAGGTACATTTGATTAAAATACGCTTTATATAAGTTTACTTTTGTGTTGGTATCAAGCTTTCTTTCATTTGTTTTTTCTTGTTCTTTAATAATTACAATTTTTGCTTTGATCAAAAATTTGTTATCTTAATATGCCTGTAGTAGGTTCTTGTATATATATCATAAAAATATGTAGATACAAACGTTAAATAAAATTGAGAAACAAAAAGCCATCAATAAGCGACCAAAGTAAAGGGGATGAACATTTGTTTTACTGTTTATATTGATGCTTTTGTTTTGTATATATTTTACAGTTCAATTAATCATCGTCGGACAGATTTGTTGTTGTAAGCAGTGTGGCATTATCTTCGGCGCCTTGCTCCTCAATATCCTGCATGAGAAAAGAGAGAGAAGAGGCGTTCTTAGGTAAATTCTAGTATTTAAGTTAATAGAAACCGAGTTCCATTGTTTCGAGAAATAAAACTCAAGTCTTTGTCAACCCCTAGCCCCAAGCCTGGATAAAAAAAAAAATAAGTTAAGTGTTTGTTATTTTTCTTATACAAAATATATTTTTAGCAATTTCTTTTTGTTTGTTTTCGTTACATTCATTAGGACGTATAAAACCACACGATCAAAATGATAAACTAACATTAAAAGTACTTGATACACACACGCACACACACACAAACATATGCATATACATGCATACATGTAAGCAATGCGCACATATGTACATATGCATACATATGTATATGTTACATTGCTTTTGTAGTTCACATTTACACACAGAGAGAGAGAGAGAGAGAGAGAGAGAGAGAGAGAGAGAGGGAGAGAGACGAAAAACACATTTGTGCATATAATTTTGATTTTTTTTCGCAGTCATGTATAAAAATAAAAAATTTGTTTATTTCAAATAAAAAATATTTGTAATTTGTAATAATAATGTTTAAAAAAAAAAAGAAAAACTTAAATTGAAACAAAACATTTAGGTTTACAAATAGCTTCCGCTCTGAGAGAATATTGTAAATGCAGCGCGACAGTATAAAAATATTTTACGTGTTGTGTTGTTTAGTGTAGCAAATGCTGGATTTCGCTGATAGTCTGTTCTGTTCGTGTTCGTTTTCTTGTTGTTGTTTTTGTTGTTTGTTGCTTGAGCGTCTGGAAGTGTGCGGAAGATTTTGTTGTTTGCTGGAGCCGCAGCTGTGCTTAGCTGATTCACTTGAGCTTCTGCTTGACGGGACTGGGCGACGCCTGGTCGGCCTCGGGCAGATCGCTCTCCTTCTTGCGCTTCAGCTTGTCCTTGTTGGGCGCCTTCGCCTTCTTAGTCTGCGCCGCCAGCAGCTTAGCCTCGCGTTTCGCCTCCCGCTTGGCGCGCAGCTGTTCGGTGATAAATGAGTAGACCAGATAGCCCTGCAGGGCGATCAGGCCAATCATGGCGATTACCGCACGCGCCTTATAGCTGCCGCCAGATCGGCCAATGCCATAGTAGAGCGTCAGCACACCGATCACCGAGGTGGCAAAGCGCACCAGGACAAAGCATGCATTGTTCACAATGTTGGCACGTGCCAGACGCTCCTCGCGATCAAAGACGCCAATCAGCTGGAATATGTGGGCGAGCAGCTCGCTGAAGTAGTGCAGCGTGAGCAGGACAAGCGCCAAGCGCTGGAAGCTAAGCGTATAGGCCAATACGATGAGCGTGAATCCGCTTATGGAATGTATTATCTTGGGCTGTTGCTCCTCCTTGGCGCGCACCTTCTGGAAATAGAGTTCGGGCAGCATGTGTAGATAGTATGCCAACTGGATGATAAAGTAGAATTTATGCAGGAAACTCATCGGATGCGCCGGATAGCCCTCCCACAGTTGGGCCACTTGGCCCAGGTAGCCTTCGCGCAGCGCCACATGCGTGCCCCAAACGAATGAGAGCAGATAGAAGGCAACCAGCTGGCCGGATTCGTTAAAGCGTGCCAGCTTGAATTTCGATAAGTGCAGCTTCTTGCTAATCTTGTCCAGCACAAACTCCTGTATGATGGCGTGCATTATGATGCAGGTGAGCGTATAAAAGAATATCGCACAATAGTCCTTAATGCCGGCCAAATACGTGTATGGCTTGCCATACGGCTGCTCCCGGCTAGCCTCCTCGCCACTAACATTGTGATGCAGCGATATGAAGGCGCTGGCGAACGATGCCGTCGATTCGTTCATCAGTCCAACAACAAATACCATTGCCACACATGAGATGATGTCCGCATGGTTTTGTATGACAAACTCGTGGCTCAATATCGGTGGATTTTTGTTGCTCGTCTTGCGGCCGAGTCCCGGTTTGATGGCCATAGTTATTCTTCTTCTTCTTCTTCTTGTTTTTGTTGTTGTTGTTTCTTCTGGCTAGTTGCTGCAATGTTGCAAGTTGGATTAGTGTTTGGTGAATGCAATCAAGTGACTGCCTCTCGCTCTCTCTCTCTTTCACACACACGCTGTCGGTGCGAGTGTGTGCGCGTGGCTGTTGCAACGTCAGCAGCAGCTGACATCGCATCGCCAGCGGAATTATGGCCATGTGCATGCAAATGCCAATTGGCCTGTGCAGCCCATACAACAGCAGCGCGCAGACACACACACGCACACACACACACACTCACGCACACTAACAAAACACACAATACAAATTTGCCGTGTTGGCACACACATACATACAAGAGAGGCAGCGCTGCTAGCGCCACACGCAAGCAAATTTCTTTTTGCTTTTCACTAGACAAGCGAGTTTGTTGTTGTTATTTTTGGTTGCTTACAGGATTGGAATTTGTGCTGCAATTTGCTGACGTAGGCGTCTTCCAGTTGTGTATTTCTTGTGATTTTCCTTCTTCTTCTTTTTGTTATTCTTGTTAAACACTCTTAGTTTTTAATTACAGTTTACTTTTTTTTTTTTTTATTCCAGTGCGCCTGTGGTCCAGCCGCCTCTGCTGCCTGCCTGCCTCTGGCTTTTAGTTTAGCTGCTGCTGCTGCTGCTGCTCACCTGTAAGTGAGTGACTGACTAACTGACTGACTGACTAACTGAATGAATGTGTGGCTACGTTTCACCGAAAACGCTGTGTATGCCAGTGTGTGTGAATGCCAAGGCGGCCTACTGGCAAACAGAGCCAAGCAGCAACAACAACGGCGCTGCCACCAGCCGCAGCAGTACAACAAAACATACAGCCAGCGGTAGCAACAACAGCAACACAGAAAAAAAAAAAAAAAAACTGCCACGCAAACGACTCTCGGCTCCAACGGGTAATAGTGTATCTGTCGCCTTGTTGTTGTTGTTTCTGCTCACTACCACTTGTTCACGTTGTTGTTTATTGCCTGCTCGCTTGCGCACACACAGCGTAGCGCTTACGTATTGCCGGCTAATGATATGCGTTCTCGCTTCCACACGCCCAGAGCGCCACAATATTATGTTGGGGCACCCAATCGTCGATGTCACGATGTTTGGCCACGATGTCCGTTTTTGATTTTTGTTTGCTTCGTGTGCCAGCCGACAGTGACGTGGAATTCGTTGTATGTTTGGCTTATCGATAGACACAATAGGCGTCATCACCGCACATTTGCAACTCTGCCAAGAGGCACAAAAAAGAAAGTTCGCCCAAGGCGGCGTTACACGCGTGAGATCACATACTCGTATATACGTCAAGGCTTATGCTAGATACGCCATCTATGTAACTTGAAATACACATTTTTTGTTAGCACAACCTATCCACGCTTGCATTCTGACGTCATGCGCAGAGAACTGAATGCTTAACAGAGTTACCGCTCTCTTTCATCTTTGCCATTCACATTAATACGCGCTCATTGCACTACTCGAATATAACGGTTAAAATTCAAATATATTTTAAATTCAATAAACGCGCACGTAGGTTATTGATTAACTAACAGGGAAATTAAAACTAAAATTGTATCTATGCACTTAACGCCAATAATGAGCTAATTATTATTAGTTGGACATATTTTTTATTCATTATTTAACCTTTGAGGAAATTTATTTAGTTGTGTTAATGTTTAAGTTATTGCTATTTGGGTAAGATTGTATAGTTTTGGGAATTTAACACTTTTAATGAGTTTTGCAACATTGGTTACAACCTATCAAACTGACATTATTTGAAAAACTAATGTCTTTTACGGAGTTTCGACTAAGAAATAATTGCCTGAGAAAGGGTAGCCTGGGATTTGAACCCAGGCGGTAAATTAGAGCCCTCCCTAACAAAGTGTGGGGTCTGAGGGATGAGGGAAGGCGATATTCGACACGGTTTCTTAGTATATGGGATAGAACTACAAATATTGGTCAATTCTGTGACATTTTAAAAGCATTACAAGCCAGTCATGCGAAATGGTAATTAAATGCATTTGTACTCACGTTACGATTCCGCTTGCGCACAGAGGACACAATGGTGCGCTTGTTGCGTGCCACCAGGCAGACCGTTATAATTAAAATCATGCCAATGAGTGCAAATCCAAGCAATGCGGGCAACAGCACGCTATCCTCAGCCTTGTAGCCCTGCGAACGAGAGTGAGTGGGTGTCAGAACGAGGCCAGAGGCGCAAACCACAGGCTCCATACTTACCGACCACTGGACGTATGTGGATGGATCTATGTAGGCCCAGCGTGTGTTCATCCAAGCGCTGTTGCTTCTGTTCTGCTCCACAGCCTCGTTGCCAGGCAATTGTTGTTGTTGCTGCTGCTGCTGCTGTTGCTGCTGCTGCTGTTGCAGCTGTGTGCTCTGGGTCTTGGCCAGCACGGGCGGCATGATGGGCTTCTTGGCTGCCGACTTGAGCAGCGGTACTTGTATAATGCGCGTGGTTATGGTTGCGGCCAGGCGATTGCTAACCGATGGGACGGCGGTGGTGGTGGTGGTGGTGGCAACTGTTGCCAGTGTTGAATATGTTGCTGGCGGCAAGGCTGACCGTACGGTGTTAGCCGGAAGATGTTGTTCAGTTGTCTGCATGCCAGATGTTGTTGTTGTTGTTGCGGTTGCTGCTGCGATTGTTGTGGTTGTTGTTGTTGTTGTTGGCGCAGTTTTGTCAAGCTTTAAGACGAACTGCTCAATGCCATCGTGCTTGACAATCTGCACGGTTTTGCCAACATTCTGACCCAAAATGGCCGCCACTGGCGGAGCTGGAGCCGCAGCTGTTGCCGCTTTTCCGGCTGCAATATGCGGCAGCTGTCGCTCGCCGCCGCTGCCACTGTGCGTGAACGCCGCCTTCGTTTTGAGGAACCATTCAGCGGGGCTGGGCAAGCACTCGGCGGACACCAGAAACGGTATAAGCACGGCGCCAATGATAACCGTGCAGACAAAGATCAGGCCCAGATATGCAAAGAATGTGCGACGTCTGCGTGGCGACGCCGATGAGCTGCGCTTGCCGCCCGGCCCGGGCGTGCAGGACGTGGCGGACGTATTGGACGCGGATGCGGAAGCGTTTGCTGCCAAGCAGCTGGCGTTTGTCAGTTTGCCCTCAATCCGAAAATCGTCGTTTTGCGGCAAAATTGTATATTGCAAACTGTTCTCGCCGTGCCGTATTGTTTTGTACATTTTTATTTTGTTCTTTTGCTCTTATAACTTACTTTGAGACTTGCTTTGTTGTTGTTTTTTGGTTTTCCGTTTTCTTTCTTTGCGCTCTCTCGCTTCTTCTTTTTTTTTTTTTGTTTTTTGTGTGTGTAACTGTAAATGTTGCGAATCTGTAACGGGAAGCAAGGACACTACGGGACACTTTTGCTGTTGAGCTTCGCGTTTCCTGCTGCTTAATTGTGCTTCACGCCAAAAGCTGTTGTGCCAATTGTTGTTGTTGTTGTTGCTGTTGTTGCATGCTCCTTGCGTACTAATTTTATGTTTTTATTGATTTAGCTTTTGTTGTTTTGCCAGTCGAAGAGAGACGAGCGCAGGCAACAGCAGCTCGAAAAACTGCAAAAGTTTTGGCGCAGTCGCAAATCGCATTTGGCTTTGCTGTTGGTAACACTCTTAACGGTTAATAATAAATATTGACAGTGCTGGAAAACGCAATCATATTCCTGTGTATGCTTCCAGGAGTAGAGCACATTACATCAGAAACAAACAAAAAAGTCCATCGAATTTTAGATTTCATATTACAAATAACTTAAATTTAACCTTCAAATGATTCGAATGCAATCGAATTATTATTATGCACATGCATAGAGCATAAAGTTTTCATTTCCGTAAAGTTCGTTGAGTTTACATATGTGCTTTTAAAAATTTGTTTCGATCATTAAAGCGCCATATCGCTAGCCTGCGTTCTAAATTTAGGCACTGTACCTCTGAAACTCCCTATTGGACGGCACCATATAATCTGAACATTATCTGACACGAGTAAACACGAATATAAGTATATTGCCAAATTTTGGGTCTCTAAATTTAATTGCGTCGTAGACACGCGCTTAACCAGACAGATGGGCAGACGGACGGTCAGGCATGATGGACATTGAACAGAACGAGTATACTCATTTCATTTTGTGGACGAGTATAAGCAAGGATACGGATACTGTGATATAAACGGCGCAAACTCTCTGATATGACATGACAAAAGCTTATTGATATATAAAACAATATGTATGCATGTGTATACATGAATAGCATAGCTGGCTGCGCTGACAAAAGATAAATGCTACGCATAGGCCTTAAATGGGAAGCGGGAATAGAATTTAATTTTTATCGTCGACTGACGGGTTGGGTTTACGATACGTATCATAAATTAAACAAACAAATTGTCAACTGATTTATGGCCAAAAGCAAATGCAACATTAATTGAGCAATCGACCGGTTTCAATGGCCAACATTTCTGCTGGTATTGTAAGCCAAAGGCTGCGTGAATGTGGCCGACTGATAAGACCCATATTGATAAGAGCCCTGACCAAGTGGCTTGTTTGCGTACGAAGGCTAAAGGGAGAAGTGGAAGTGACTGCTTATCGCCGACAATTTTTCAATGCATTGGCCGTCCGTTGCCTGGAACAGCTCAGTCACGTAAACGCCACTGGAGTGCGAGCAACATGCTCTTGATAATCTGTCTTGGCCTTGGCTTAATGGCGGCGCTGCTTAGCCTTGGCTTAATGGTGCTGCTGCCCCTGCTTGGCTTGCTGGTGGTGCTGTTGGGCCTGTCGCTGCTGCTGCTCAGCCGCAAGTCGGCGCTCATCTTTGGCAAATATCCATGCAAGGGCATCTTCTACAGGATCAAGTATGGCATTGCGTTGCTTGTGCTTCGCCAGCTGCGATATCGCATCTACCAACGCAACGAGGATCAGCTCAGCTCGGCGGCGCATCTGGCCACGCTGGATCGTCCGCAGCCGCTGACCAATGATCCGAAAAGCTATGATGTGGTTAGCTTTATGGCTGCCAATGCAGCTGGCCAGAAGCTGATGGTGTCGCTGGAGCGACGTAGGCGCGGCGTGCTAAAGGCGGCGCTGTATCTATGGTTACCCGATGGTCATTTGTACTCGTTGCCCAAACTGCCGGACATGGTGCACTTTACCAGCGATGGCAACGAGGAGAGCACCGAATTTCGTGGTGCTGGCTTCCATATCTATCCGGAGGAATCGATGCGCGTCTGGCGACTCGAATATGTGGGCCAGCTGCGACGCTCCATGATCAACGAGCCGGAGACGAATGATGAGCAGCTGGTGGAAGTGCAGCTGGATATGAAATTCACAAGCACGGCGGAACATTTCAACTACAATCGCGATCTTAGCTCATCGTTGATTGCCGACTCTATAGCGCGTGAGGCCTGGAACGATAGCTTCTATGGCATGCTTAAGAGCGTCGGTCACATTGTGGAGAAGCGTACCCACTATGAGCAGAATGGCCAGCTTTCCGGCAGCATTGTGCTCGGCCAGAGCCGGCTGCAGCTGGAACTGCGCGGATTTCGGGATCACAGCTTTGGCACCGAGCGCTGCCTGAGCTCCATCAATCGTTATGTCTACTTTGCCCTACTGCTGGACGATGGCAGCAGCATGGTCGTTGGCAATCTTAGCCAGCCCTCGTTCTTTCTATCATCGCTCAAAGTGGGCTATGTGTGCACGCCCCAAGGTGTCTATCAGCCGATCACCGCCAGCAATTTTGAGCTGTACTCCTACGGGGAGAAGGGCACGCCGCCCCAGCATCAGAATTTCATAGTGCATACCGCTGAGCGCGCCTATCTGGTCCAAATACGTGTGGAACACAGTGCTGTGCGCTATGTGGGCGGCGACTGGGAGTCCAAGGTGTACAACCAGTTTGTGGCCTGTACCGTTAATGGCGTCAGCGGCCAGGGACATGCCGAATATCTCTACAGGCACAACATGGGTCGGCCCGAGTCGGTCACCGCCCAGGATCCGCAGTGGTATCAGCGTATTAAGTGCTTCGAGCGCAGTCTGAGCAACATGGAGCTGGTCTGCGATGAGGATTTCATATTCTAGGACATCCCAAATTGGATATATATACAACTTGATGCATACCTATGTGATAAATAATGTTACTCTTTAACAGAAATAAGTAAATAAAATTATATAGCTATTGAACACCAAAGGATTTTGTCTTGCTCGGTGACATACTCAAGGACATGTCCTCGGGCGCGTCGTGCATTATGATATATAATACATTTTATAACACACAACAGAGCAGTATAATACCTATGCCTAAAATAAGACAGCGCCGGAAGACAACCATCAAAAGAGACGCTCAACAACTTAGAACTCTTGGCCTTTAACGAAGCAAAAACCTAGTCTTCCTGGGTTTTCAGAAAACCCCTTTTTCAGAGTCATAAAACGAAAGTTTCTAGGACAAATATATGATATAGTATACTCTAATATAGCTGCTATATAATATAATAGTAAAATGAAATTCCTAATTGATCAGTATGGACCGATTCCTTCTATAGAGCTTTATATATACATATATATATTTAGTATTCCGAAGCGTATAAGGTTGTTCACATGTAGGAAGCCTATTGAATTCCTTAAATCCCAGGTTTGGTCAAGATATCGATACAAAAAAAATTAATTTTCGAAGGATCCTTTTAATGACTTAACATAATGATCCGATCTGGCCGATTCTGATATACTATATGCCTGCAACCGAAAGACGGATATATTCTAAGCTTAAAGCCTGGAAATAGACGAGCGAAAAGCCGGGCATGGCTATACCGAATCGGCTGTTAATATATAAGTAAGTATTATAAATGGGGTGTGCCAAAGATGTCTGAAATAAAAAAACGTATGCTTGATAATATCTACTGATGGTCTAATCAAGCACAGGACTTCGTCTTCTGTATTATAAACGTTTATTCATTAAACGACTTTGAATTATAGCAAATAACATATTTTGAAGTGTGGACCACCCACAAGTACTTTGAATATTTAAAAATAAATCAACTTGAGCACGTTAGCGTAGAATGCAGCTTACCGGGCCACAGCCGTAAGCAATCTGGGATAAGATAAGAAAATATTTGGGATTTTCTATCAATAAATAAAACAAGGAAGGCGGTTACGTATTTTATATACCCCTGATTTATGAAGGCAAAGACAATGACTTGTGTTATCGATGCGGTCTTATGCCAGGGATTAGTAACGATCCAGTCCAGCTGTGTAGAACCGTGTTTCTGCGATAAGGGAAAACTCAAGAACTATCAAGACCTTTGTACATAATAGGTTATGCGGCTGGGACGGACAAGGTAATCAGTATTCATGCTGTCTTATGATTGACTGACCTACGACAAATATCGGTTTACGACCACGATTACTCCACACACCATGGTAGCATTAAATTGGATACGATTCTTTAAGTACGCTTCTGGACATTTCATGGAATGATAATAACGAAGTTCAAAGTCCCTCTGAATCAGTCAATCAGATATTACTAAGTACAAGTTTAGGGCTTGGTTTTTGTTTGTATTTAATAAGTTAGTAGTTATTTCACTGGAAGAAAAAATACAAAAGCAATGACAGAACTGTGATCATCGCAGTATTTAGATTGGCGAGCATATCGCTTGAAGTGCTTATTCGTAGAATTCCTGAAAGCTCTATCTTGGCGGCGTTGTATACCCTAGGGCATATAATTAACACCCTCGTCAAGCGTATTATTGTTATATCTCGAAGTGGGTAACGCTTAGAGCGATCACATAAGGATCAGTATCAACAGACGTGTCGACCTTAGCCACGTTTGTCTTTAGTCTCTTTAAATGCAATAGATAGAAGACGAAGATAATACTATCAGATATAATGAACAAGAATATATATGTGCATATTTATATAAGGTTAATTGGCGAAAAACGGTTACATGAAAGGTTTTTGCTTACCAGCCGGATCAAAGGTTTAATAAATGAAAGTTTATTCTACAGTTTCAAGATTGTCATATTTTTAAATAAAAGTGGAGATCAAGATGAATAGATTTCAATTTTCCGCGAACGTGTACTTAGTGGAAAGGTAATATCTAACATTTTTAGCATAAAACGTTCCACGTGCAAGGCCGGGCAATATCCGCTAGTTTATTTATATCTTTACCAAAAAAACGAACAGTCCATGCGCTCAAGTATTAAATTCTTAATTACAAAGAGCTTGATTAAACTTCACATGTATAGAATATTTCACAGAATGAATCGCTCTTAAGTTGTTTTCGGACTACAATCGGAAGTTAATACAAGGGTATCTAATTGTCAGTCCCAAGATTCGTCTAGTCTTATGCTTAGATGATTCCTTAGTTGTATTTTGATATAGAATATAAATAAAAGCCTGCACTTTATTGCATGGCATGATTTTGATTTGCATTACGACTTGAATTCTTGCCTGACATTTTTTCAGCTATTTATTGGAACAGTTTTCATTTTGCTTTCAAAATATATAGAAGTAAAAAGAAATATAAAAGAATTTTGTCAGGCTTCCGTTCAAAATTCAATATCAAAATTCATAGGTTTTAAGATGTTCAACATTGGCACCAGCTCGGAAGTCAGCTCAACGGCGACCATTGTAAATGTGAAGGATGCGATGAATACGCCAACTGTCTCAATTGCTAATTGCAATCGTATTAGGAGTCGTAGTCGTAGTCGTAGTCGTAGTCGCAGTCGCAGTCGGAGTCCCGGTGCCATCTCCGACAGCTTTAAGTTGAGTCCGGCAGAGATGCCGTCGAACAGTCGCAGAGCCTTTCTACAGCACATGGTCGATAATTTGCCAAAGACGGTGCGCAATCGTGTGTTGGCGCTGAAGCACAATCAATTGCAGCAGATTAAAATATCGGAGCAGTTCTTTCGCGAGGTGTACGATCTGGAGAAGCGTTTCTATTTGCAGAGTTGTACGCTCTTTGATGTCCGGCGCGATATTGTCGCCGGTGATGTGGAGCCGCCGGTGATGGAGCGCTATTGGCGCGAGGAGCCCGATGAATTGCTCGAGGAGATTAAGACCACGGAGGAATTTAAGCAACTGACCGAACAGCTGCATCAATTACCATCCAATGCGGTGGGCGTGCCTAGCTTCTGGTTAACGGTCTTCCGCAATGTGGCCCTTATCTCAGATCTGGTGCAGGAGCACGATGAGCCGTTACTCGAGTGCCTGCTCGATGTGCGCATTAGCTACGAGCCAGATAGTTATACAGTTCATTTTCAGTTTCGTCCCAATGGGTATCTGCACACATCCTCTCTGCAGCTAACCAAAAAATATATACTGCGTCACGAGGCGGACAAGGACTATCCATTTATGTTCGAGGGTCCAGAAATTGTGCGTTGCGAGGGCTGTCACATCCACTGGCGGGATGGCTCTAATCTGACATTACAGACGGTCAAACAGAAACGTCCTCGGAAAGGTGCACGCAATATATCAAAAGTGATGCCACGCGAGTCCTTCTTTCGATTCTTCTCACCGCCGCAGGCGATGGATCTATCATTGGCCGATGAGAAGACAAAAATGGTACTTGGCGCCGACTTTGAGGTGGGCTATTTGCTGCGCACCCAAATTGTGCCCAAGGCGATACTCTTCTATACCGGCGACATTGTGGATAACGTCAACGATGAGCTCTGCACAGCGGACAATACATCGGCATCGTTGTCCTCTCTGTCGCATGGTGACCAAGATAATCAAAGGAACTCAAAGGAACGCCCCAGCATTAGCAGTGTTAATCCTAAATAGAACTTTTAAGATTTTCATAAATCGTGCATGCATTTTCATTCTTTCATACTCTCTACATACATATACACAAGGTATACACATATACATATACATACATAAATGTGTGTAGCTAACTAGATTCTAATTAAGAGCTATTTAAATATGCTAGTGTAGTACTCCTCCTCCAGATCGTACAGGTCCATGGCCATCTCGTCGCGCAGCTTCATCAGCTTTTTGTCGCACTCAATTTGCGTGGCCCGAAACAGCTGTGAGTTGTTTGTGATTGCCTCATTCACCGAATGAAAGTCATTGAGTATAAGATATTGCTTGAGATCTGCAACTAGCTTCATCAGCGATTCACCAGCTCGCACTGCAACACAGAGAGTATTTTTTTAAATGTGTCACAAAATGGGCGTTCAGTCATTTAAGGATCCAGACCCAAATACGCTTTGTTGAAGTAAGGGTATCTGTCGTCAATATATATATATCGGAACTATCAGTCATCATCGACATATTTAAATACAAATTCGTAGTTTGTAAAGATGCAGAAATATTTGCTTTGGGCTTCGATTTATCTTGTAAGATCCTGTCATTTTCCTTGCTTTTAAAAATATTTCAAATATTTCGAAATAAAACTAATCAACACTGTATTACTATATAAGTTAGCTGCCATGGGAACTATCCGTTGATATTGATATCCTGTATAATACTTGTGTATTTGTTGTTTGTCGCGCTTAAAACACACTAACTACTATATCATAAAGCTGCCATAGAAGCGAGTCATATAAATAACGATGTTGTTGTTGGCTAAGATCAGAATAGTATATCGTACAACTGTCATGGTATGGTTGGCAGGGTATTTAATGATCGTCATCACAGAAAGCTAACTGATATCAGTGGTCTCTATATGTATTTAGTTGTCCGCTTACCCATGTTGGCGGCTCTCACTTGCATCTCTAGTGCATCCTGCTCGCACTGTGTTGTCTTTGAAATTTGACTGTGACTTTCGCGCCGCGCCAGCTTCAGAATTTCTGTAAACAAAAGCATAAACAACGGAGTCAGTTATTGTTTGAGAGCGGAGTGCAAAAGAGAGAACACACACAGAACATACACTCTGCTCGTATCGGATGGCATAAACAAATGCCTTTGGGCTTAAAGAGAGGCTATGGTTGCCTTGTGGCAGCCGGGCAGAGCTACAGTTGGGGCCAGAACGCGTGTGGATCTTGTCATTTACATACAGTTACATGCAAAAATATTTGCTCAGTTCTCAATTATAAAATACAACAAAATTAGCAGCCGCATACGCAATGGGCACATCATTTTCATTTTTCTTCGATCGGTTTGCTGCCAAGGAGGATGTGCGTGTGTTGATGATTGGCCTGGACGCAGCCGGCAAGACAACAACTCTGTATCAACTTAAGCTGGGCGCCACTCTAACCAACATACCGACCATTGGATTCAATGTGGAAATATTGGAATACAAGCGCCTCCGTCTGACTGTTTGGGATATTGGCGGCCAGAAGCGTGTGCGTTCCATGTGGCGATATTACTACAACAATGCAGCTGGCGTTATATTTGTGGTGGATGCCGCCGATGTTGAACGCTTTCCCGAGGCTATGACCGAGCTGCATTCGGTGCTGCGCGTGAACGAACTAAAGGACAGTGTCGTATTGGTTTTCGCCAACAAGCAGGATCTGCCGCATGCGATTGCACCGGCAGAGCTAGCCTTGCGATTGCGCTTGGACGAGCTACAACAGCGCTGGAAGGTGCACGGCGTCAGCGCCGCCAACGGACATGGCGTTCTCGAGGGCATGGAACTGCTCTATCGCATGATACGACAGCGTCGTCAGCGTGTCCGTAGAGAGCGTCGTTTCAAATCATTCTTCTAGCCCCATTGGCAGCTCCAGCTTCAGCGTTCGCGCCATTTCCAGCTCCTAGCTCTTATATACATATATATGTAGCATAAATGTGTATGTTATTACCTTCAAAGTTTTCCAACATGCTGCGAACATCATCTTTGAGGCGCGCATTGTAGGACTTCAGGAGCGCCTCTTTCGATTGCGGCAGTATTGTGGTCCGTGAGCTGCTTGCCATTTGGTGAGCGCAGCAATCAACCACACGGCTGTTGCAGGGCTATAAATTTTCTTTAGTTAACAGTTTGTTATTAAAATTATTTCGCTTTATTTATAATTTATTTGTGGTCTTTGCCGCGGTTTTGGCTACCAAGCAGGGTTGCTCATATACGTGCATGGTGTCAAAAATTATGGCTAGTACAAGATAACGCCGCGTTTTTTAAATTATTATTTCACTTGGTAAGTATGACGTCACGATTGCAAATGAAGTCCAAGTCCAATACAATTACAAATTCGGCAATTGCATTTATCATTTGACCCCATATGGGTTTAAATAGATGGTACGCATTAAATATATTTAGACCAACATTCGCATTGCTTAGACAAGAATTCGGACAGCCGTGACGTCACAATATATGAAAACAATTGCTTACAACGTATGGCGCAATCTCTTGTATCGCACAATTCCTGGGATAGTTCTTGCATATTTTGGCGATATTAATTATCGATTGATGCGTTTTAAATATCGATACATGGAAATTCTTTGCTTGCCCATCGCTAGTTCTTGACCTGCAGGGGTTGTGAAAAGTGATCTCGAAAATAGCGTCAGAGTTGAGCAAGGCATTGGGCCGCAGCGTAATTTCCATCAAGATAAGCCAACGAAGGAGATTCTACAACTGTAATGCTTTAATGCTAAAGTCCATACTTGGCGCGGACACGAATGGTTCTGGGGAAGATATACCAAGCGGAGGCGTTGGCGTGGCCAACGGCAGTAGTGGCGGGAGTGGCAGTGGTAGCAGCACCAGCGCTGGAGCATTAAGCCGAGCCAGTTACGGCCTTGGCTCCAGCTCAATATCCAGTGGCCTAAGTGCTGTCTGTGGCCTAGTCGGAAGTGGGAGTGCGAGTGCGAGTCGCAGTGGCAGTGGGAGTGGGAGTACAAGCGGTGGCAGCACACCAGCATCCGTGTTTTGCCCCGCATGCGTAGCAAACAGCTCACAGCAGCGGCAGCAGCAGCAGTTGGCATTTGCCTCAGGGGCTGAGGCGTTCCAATTGCGAGAATCAAAATCGGGCAAGCGGATTAAGGCGCGCAAAAGTGCATCAACGGCTGGCTGTTTGGACGCACAGCATATACGCAACAATCTGAAGATGTCCACATCGAGCTCAATGCGAAGCACACGTGGCAACGGCAACGGCGCTGGCAGCAGCAGCAGTAGCAGCACGGCTTCCGCTGTGGTACCATTCGCTGGCTGCAGTCTGGCATACGATGGCAGCAGCAATGGCAGCTGCAGCAGCGTCAATGGTAAAGCCATCTCTCCGGGCAGCTACAGCTGCAATGCGCTCAATGTGGACTTCAACTCCTATACGGCTACGCATCAATGGACACGCATGCTGGAGTGTGCCGAGTTTGTGGGCGCCAAGTAAGTTTAGCCAAGTGCGCAATGCAGGAACATTTTTAAACATGGTTTTTGTTGTTTTTCTTACAGGCGTAGCAAGCACACGGTGGTTGCCTACAAGGATGCCATGTTTGTGTTCGGCGGTGACAATGGCAAGAACATGCTCAACGATCTGATAAGGTTTGGGGTCAAGGACAAGTCATGGGGACGGGCATGCGCAACGGGCACACCACCAGCACCGCGCTATCATCATTCAGCTGTTGTCGCGGGCAGCTCAATGTTCATCTTTGGCGGCTATACGGGTGACATACATTCCAACTCGAATTTGACCAATAAGAATGATTTGTTTGAGTACAAATTTCTCAGCGCCATGTGGGTGGAATGGAAATTCTCGGGCAGGTAAGACGAATCTCGCCAGTCGTTAGTCCGGAATCACAACTAAAAGCTGCTGCTTTCTCTCTCTCTCTCTCTCCAAATTTGACAGGCAACCCGTGCCACGCTCGGCGCATGGTGCTGCAGTTTATGATAACAAAATGTGGATTTATGCTGGCTACGACGGCAATGCACGTCTCAATGATATGTGGACGCTTAATTTGACCGGCGAGAATCATCAATGGGAGGAGGTGGAACAGCAAGGTGATCGTCCGCCCACTTGCTGCAATTTTCCCGTTGCCGTTGCACGCGATGCCATGTATGTCTTCTCTGGCCAGAGTGGCTTGCAGATTACAAATTCGCTGTTTGAGTTTCACTTTAAGACGCGCACCTGGCGTCGCATCTCCAATGAGCCGGTGCTGCGTGGTGCCACGTCGGCGCCACCATCACGCCGCTATGGTCACACCATGGTGCATCACGATCGTTTCCTGTATGTGTTTGGTGGTTCGGCAGACTCCACGCTGCCAAATGATTTGCACTGTTACGATCTGGACTCGCAGGTGTGGTCTGTAATACATCCGGAACAGAACTCAGATGTGCCATCCGGTCGTGTGTTCCATGCATCGGCCGTAATTGGCGATGCAATGTATATCTTTGGCGGCACCGTCGACAACAGCGTCCGACGTGGCGATACGTATCGCTTTCAGTTCTCCAGCTATCCCAAGTGTACACTGCGCGACGACTTTGGCAAGTTCTTTCAGGAGAAGCAATTCTGTGACATTCAGTTTGTGGTGGGCGCTGAAGAGATACGCATTTTGGCGCACATTGCCTTTGTGGCGGCACGCTCCAAGTATTTGCGCAATAAGATATTGTCGGCGCGCGAGGCGCGTCAACAGCAAATGGAGAAGGTCTATGGTGTTGGTCAGGTGGATGCGTTGGTATTATATACGGGCGTCGGTGCAGATCGTGAGCCCATGCTGGAGGTGCGACTGTCACATGCCTCACCCGAAGCGTTCGAGATCATACTTAACTACATCTATACGGATCGCATTGATTTGAAGGACTCCTACAGCAAGAATATCATCATACTCATCACGGACATCTATCAGTTGGCTGGCCTGTTCACCATGCCGCGCCTGGCGCACGGCTGCATACAGTATCTGGACTATAAGATCAACAAGATAAATGTGCTCGAAGCACTCTACAATGCGGACAGAAACAAGTGAGTATCTGGCTGCCTTCAATTCAATTCATTTCAATTCAATTTTGTTGATTTACGTCTCAGCATCAAAATCATTAAGGATCACTGCATGCAATTCATTATCAAGGAGGAGAACTTCACCGAAGTGGTCATGTCCAGTGAGTTCAGTGATCTAGACAAGCCGTTGCTGGTCGAGATTATACGCAAGCGTTTGCATCCCAGCAAATTGGTCTTGGACATCAGCTTTGAATCAAATATTGGTGAGTATTTGACCAATATATACGTTTATTATTATTATGCATTATGAATATGCGAAAAACTCCACCCAAAACCAAGGAATCTTGTCGTATACCGTCGTATACTTCTGTTTTCAACCCTTTTAAAGCCTTTACTTATTTAAATATGCTTTTAATGCATTGAAGAACACGTATCCAAACCAATGCAAGCTATTCCTGTGTATAGCAGGCAGTTCATGTGCCCAAATATTTCATAGGAATAAGTCAAATTTTTGGTTCTTATATGAAAAACTCGTTGTTTTTCAAGATATCTTGACCAAGCTATCCACATGGAGTATTATAATATATAGCTCCAAGGGAAGAACTGGTCATAAACTGGGTTTTTCCAGGGGAACGTTTTCCGTTTTTCAACAAATCTTCACCAAACTCAGTAATCACAAGCCTCGCTGTTCTGCCAGCGTATGTGCAAAGCCGGACCATAGAAGGCGTTCATTATAGCTATAATGTTATTCTTTCTTTTAAGAAAACGTGAAAATTAATTTGCTGTTCGTTTGGCAAATCAAAGGCCAATGGTTGAATGATATTTTCCGTCTGTCTGGACTTAAGCTCATTAAGCGCCGCATAAAACAAAAATAGATTCCTGAATTTAGATAATCCAGCGCAAGTAAACTACCCGGCACGGACAAGGCCGGCTAACGCCAATACAGATATATCTTTACAAATATATATTGACAAATCCATCAATATCCATGCATGTATTTAGGCACCACGTTGGAGCTGGATATGGCCTTGTTCTTGGAGACAACGGGCAAGGACTTTTGCGATATAAGCCTTATACTGGAGGATCATGTGATACCGGCCCATAAGTCTGTGTTATCAGCACGTTGTACCTATTTTCAGGGCATGTTTCGCTCGTTCATGCCACCGGATAATACCGTCAATGTAAATGCCATCGATTGTTATCAATTATCTATCATGCTGTTAATTAATTAATCCATCAGATACAAATTGGCGAAATTTCACCCTCGCTGGATGCTTTCCACTCGCTGTTACGCTATATATATTATGGGGAGACCAAGATGCCGCCACAGGATGCACTCTACCTGTTCCAGGCACCCTGTTTTTATGGCCTGTCCAACAATCGTTTGCATGCATTTTGCAAATACTCATTGGAGCATAATATTACATCAGAGAATGTTCTACAAACATTGGAGGCCTCCGATATAACAAAAATCTATGACATAAAGGATTATGCATTAAAATTAATTGTTAAAGATTTTGCCAAAGTGGCCAGGCTGCCCAAACTTGGAGGTTTGTCGCGCGAACTGTTACTGGAGATAATACGCGCTGTGGCCGATTCGCAAGGCGAGTTTCTGACCCGCATTAATATCAATGCCGATATCTGAAAAATAGTGCTGCTACAGCCGGCTTTGCAGTTGTTGCTCGCCTGGTTGCAAATCGGACGTAGCACGTAGAGCAGCAGTAGCGGTTGGTAGCGCAATGAATACACCCAAGCAACACCTTACTTCCCTTCTGTTCCTAAATCCTAACCTAATCTCTAACTGACACAATAATCTCAAACTATAATGCTTTTGCATAATTTAAAACAAAAACAAAACACAAACACGCCCATATACTCACGATAATCAACAATCCAAAGAAACGAATATGATGGAGACAGCGATATAAGCACAATATAGAGACAGAGAGAGAGAGAACGACAGAAAGAGAGGGAGAGAGAGTCAGAAATTTCGATATCTTAGATCGTCTTTTGTGTAGATCGTAAGCGGTAGCTGTTCTTTAAAATTGCTATGATAAG